CAAGTATTTTCAAAAGAATTTGTTTAATTTCCTCTAAAAGATCTCTATTTGTGTTTACACTACATGCCTAATAATTTTTTATTTTTTATTTATATACAGTACATACAAGAGTTCTTACATTCTTGTAAAGCCACTAACATCCATGGCGTTTCAGGCAGGCTCTTTAGCTTAATTTTCCCTGGAATACGACCGGCCAAATCGTTCAACAACCAGGTACCCATTCACTGCTGGGTGAACAGAGGTAGACAGTTAAGGATTGGCACATAGTCAATCCTTCCCAGCCATGCTATGAACCCAGACCAAATCGCTTGCAAAGCACCGGGCGAGTGTCTTACCACTGCGCCACACGGACTGTACAAGGAATATCTCGACATGTCCTCTCACCTAATACCGTACAGTACTTCTCATTTTAACAATCAACCAATCTGTTAAAAGTGTGACATATTAGTACAAATTACAGCACTGTAAAACAGTAAAAATGTATTGACATTTTCTCTCCATCGACCCCAATAGAATACCTGGCTGTGTATGTTTCTGACTAGGCAAAACAGATGCATTTTTTATAGAGTGGCAAATCAAGAGAACGGCCCTAATATATACCAGCAATAAGTAGAACATATTAAATGAGGCCGACACAGCTTTCGCCTCACACACGTGGGGTCCACGGTTCGAGACCCATACAGCCCAGGGGCCAGATTCACGAAGCAGTTATGCAAGCACTTACGAACCTGTACATCTTTCCTCAATCTTTGACGGCTTTGTTTACAATTACTAAACAGCTAATGAGCTCCGAAGCACCAGGAGGCTGTTTATAACAATAACAACAGTTGACTGGCAAGTTTTCATGCTTGTAAACTGTTTAATAAATGTAACAAAAGCCGTCAAAGATCGAGGAAAGATGTACAGGTTCGTAAGTGCTTGCGTAACTGCTTCGTGAATCTGGCCCCAGGTGAATGGAATTGAAAATGTTAACTTTAAAATTTTGACATAAGAATTTGAAAACTGCAGAATCTAACTTACCAATGGAGCTTTTTTACTCTATCGTTTCTATATGTCAGTTGTGGCTAGTTTCTACTAGCAGATTTAGACTGACTCCCTTACTGAACACTAGAGTTACATGTTCAAAGACTCTTCACAATACTACAATTTTCATTGTGAATACAGTACTAGCAGTTAATTTCAGAGTTCTCCTGGTCAATTTCTTAGCAGAATGGCTTAAAGCAATAATTCCCAAGAATTGTATTATAGCCTACAGCCAACAATTGTACTACAGGCTACAGCCATTTGCAATATACTTTATTAAACATCTATTTGAATGAGTTAAGAAAACTTAAATGTTCTAGAGAAGATACCGAGAATACTGCAAACCCTTAGAATCGGTACAGAATAATGTTGCTAATTTTATTTTGAGTCGCCTTCTTATCTTGAGATGAGATTCTTGAGGTTATCTGAGATGATTTTGGGGCTTTAGTGTCCCCGCGGCCCGGTCTTCGACCATGCCTCTACTCCCAGGAAGCAGCCTGTGACAGCTAACACCCAGGTACCTATTTTACTGCTAGGTAACAGGGACATAGGGTGAAAGAAACTCTGCCCATTGTTTCTCGCCAGCGCCTGGGATCGAACCTAGGACCACAGGATCACAAGTCCAGCGTGCTGTCTGCTCGGCCGACCGGCTTCTCTCGCCAAAGACTAACAAAAATCTTTCTGAATAAATAGCTAGAAATCACTTAACCCGACCTTGAGGTTACCTTGAGGTGCTTCCGGGTCTTAGCGTCCCCGTGGCCCGGTCGTCGACCAGGCCTCCTGGTTGCTGGACTGATCAACCAGGCTGTTGGACGCGGCTGCTCGCAGCCTCACGTATGAGCCACAGCCCGGTTAATCAGGTATCAGGTACCCCAGTGTTATGTGGCCACATATTCCACATTGAGTGGTTACATGCTGAGCATTATAATCGTGAATCTTGGTACATTCAAGCCTTATGGCTTAAACTTAAAAGCAATTTCATTTTGTACTACAGAAAATCAATTCTTTAATAATATCAAAATCAGATTCATAGATATAATACATGATACAGCCCTGTATAACATAAGATATATATACATGTATATATATACTGAAAATATATATTACTCACTAAAAATTCAATCTTTTTGTGAAATTAATCATTAAATCTCACTACTAAAGAGCAATATGGAGTACTGTGATGGTGAATAATTATTATGTAACTATTTAAAGAGACATATTATAACAGCTTTTTGAGATAAAATGCCTAGTCACCAAATTTTACAAAAAGCCCCTTAGGCTTTTGTTAAATGTCTAGCCCCCCATTCGCTGACCAGGTGGCCTGGTCAGAGACCGGGCCACGGGGATGTTGACCCTCGGAACCAACACAAGATCACCCCCACCCCCACTCTACCTAATTCAGGAGAAGCAGAGCAAGTTGGTTGGCATGATAATACAGAGGCACATCGACTTAAGAGCTGTCTCAGGGGTACAACTAACGTATAACCCATTGACTCAAAACACCCGTATGTGCACACACGTACACACAGTCTGGGTGTTTAGAAAAAAAAAAAAAAAGGAACCGGTAATGTACATGCGTGCACGCACAAAGACACGTGCACATGAATGAACATTCATGTGACCACATACACAAATGAATAAAGGATTAATAGGAGACAAAAGAAAAAAATATTCTTCAGCAATCCATAACCCCTTATAAAATGAATACTATGAAAAGAAGGCCTACTTGTTTACCTACCGTACAGTATCTCAACATATTTACCATATTTAATTACTAAAAAGCTATATATACACAAAACAATACCAGAAATACCCACGAGATCAATGGCTATGCTCAAAACCTTTGCCAGAGAAGAGTGAGGATTACTTCATGCTAACACTAATACAGAAGCTATTATGAATTGGATACCGTACATGGTGCAGTTATTCCGCAAATGCAAGACTACTCTTACAAGAATAAGAAAAAGACCGTGGGCAGGGCTCAAGAATCTATATACTGTAATTCTAAGTGACAATACAATACTCGAAAACCAACTACTGCACTACTAAAAAAGCTCAATCTAGGGAAAATTGATACTTTTAATATACCATTAAACAAATTCTAAGTGCATAGGTAAATAAAATTATTTTAAAACAAATCATCTCTGCAGATATGAAGTATATTTACGTCAACTATACTACACAAGACATGAATGAAGTGCGTTAGGATATTAACCGACCATTGTGTTAGACGCAGACAATATATTTATAACAACAATTATTTTGCTACACATGAATAAAACAATCAATGCCAGTCTCATTGCTGCAGAAAATTACGAGAATTCAACTGCAGGACATTAACCAAAATTCTAAGTAATTAGGCCAAATAATTAGTCTCAAAATAACAGCATGACACTACTGTATATTATAAATACCGTAATCACCAACCAAAAACACAATGTATGTCCTGCCTCCTCTCATGAATGTGCAGACTAACACAAACAAGTTCACCCAAGACAAAACTTGTCAAATCCAAAATACCAATCTACCCCATTTGGTAGGGAATGGAAAAGGTTAATAGACAAACAGATTATAAAATACTGACACATTCCCATTACCGATCTTGCATACTTGTGATGATATACAGGAACCTCGATTCAGCGAACCTCAATTTGGTAAGTCTCCAATTTGACCAGACTACACACTAGAAGGTGAAGGGACGACGACGTTTCGGTCCGTCCTGGACCATTCTCAAGACCATTCTGTAGACAATCGATTTGAGAATGGTCCAGGACGGACCGAAACGTCGTCGTCCCTTCACCTTCTAGTGTGTGGTCTGGTCAACATACTTTAGCCACGTTATTGTGACTCATTGCCTGCAAGTCTCTAATTGGAATATTTGCATGCCACATTTACTCATTCGACTAACAAAGAGTTCCCTGAAGCCGGGACTGTGTGGATTTGCTTAGGATGTTGGGACTCAGTTCACACTTGGAGGCAACATACTAGAAATAGTTTGGGGCCTTGGGAAAGCCAATGATCATATTTAAAACTATATTTTATGATTTATCTTAATTTTTAAATTCTCGGGTTTTCATTTACTAACATGGGTTCTTATTCTTTGAAAATGAGATTTCGAGGTTAGGGCATGGGAAATATGTTTGTTGAAGTTAAATCTTTCTACAGACAGGTTCTCTTGGTAGTTGTCCTTCATATCTTGAGATGATTTCGGGGCTTTAGTGTCCCCGCGGCCCGGTCCTCGACCAGGCCTCCACCCCCAGGAAGCAGCCTGTGACAGCTGACTAACACCCAGGTACCTATTTTACTGCTAGGTAACAGGGGCATAGGGTGAAAGAAACACTGCCCATTGTTTCTCGCCGGTGCCTGGGATCGAACCCAGGACCACAGGATCACAAGTTCAGCATGCTGTCCGCTCGGCCGACCGGCTCCCATATATATGACAGGTTGAAATTAAAATTATGCTCAGTGAAATCAAACAACAGAGCATGGGAATTATTAGGGTATGAATGGTAACTCTTTTTAATATGGCTCCAATTGTGTTTTTTACTATTTTAGTAGATGGACTCGACTTACAAGAACCTGTTGGAGCCTTTGAGAAGCGATCTTGGATATTTAAAACCAAATATATGGTATGTTTTCACTTCGAGTTGGCATGATTTTCATTCAGGTATGGCCCTGGTTCCTTTTGAAAATGAGTTCTGAGGCAATGAGAAATAAGCTACATGTGGTTAAATTTTTGTGTAGGTATGTTTATTTGTTAGTTATCAATTATAGGTTGAAGTTAAAATTTCACCAAGTGAAATTAGCCCATAGGGTATGGCAACCCCATCCCAGAAATGCTCCAGTTGCAATGAATTCCTCGCTGCAACGAATTCAGGTTGGTCCCATATAGTTCGCTGAATCAAGGGTGTACTGTATACTGTATACCAACCCTATCTTTAGACTTGTAGACCCCAACATCAGACTAAAACCCTTACCTTTAATTCTATTTCAAGTTGTTTTTCAAGGGATACTAGTCTCTGGTCGAATGAGGAGAGAGATAAAGGCTCCATGGATTTCTCTTGAGTGTCAGTCGCCATTGGCGATTGCGGAGGATCTGAAAAATATACATGATATATTAGTACAAGAAATGCCGTACTAAAATATATAAAAAGGGATAGATACACACACAATACAAAATGACTATATACCACATATGGACAAGAACCATTACATTTAAAACAATTTACAAACACAAATACCGGGAGGAAAAATTTGTGCTACCCATATGTCAACAAAAATACAAAATAAATTATTTTATTTTCACTCTAAGATCACAAAGTATATCTATACACAAATGTGTAAAGTTACCTTTCCCTGCATTCCTCACTCTATGATACAGACCTGAATAAGTAAATTTAGTATTTACATCTGAACATTAATCAAGGAGAGAGAGATCATTAAGACAACACAAAACATTTAAGAATGGTACATTAGCACAATGAAATCATAAGAATGTGAAGAGTCCACAAATAAACACTGAAATTGTATGATGGAATCAAGCCCATGTCCCTGACCTTCCCAGACGCACGTAATACCAACATGACCATCGTGGTCCAGTCGGAAGAGTGTGCGCGCGCGCCTGAGGAGTTCCGGGATGCAGGCCAAGATTCCATTGCCTGGCTTCAATATTTAAGAATATAGTATACGAGGTTTGCACGAACACTAAGAACCGACGTGAGACAATGAATGAGCAAGAAAAGCAGAGATACAGTACATCATAAACAATGTCTGATACAATATACAGTACAGTATTGTATTCAAACAATCAATTACACATTATGCATGCAAAATATGTTGCATACATTAAAAATGCAGTACTGTACTACAATGCTGCATTAATATTCAAAAGAATAATAATAGAAAATCAATTACACAACTACAATATCGATCATTTTTCTAAAATACAGCACTGTATTAGCCAAGATATTACCAAACTTCCTAATGCAGATACAATACAGTACTGTATATGGTATTCACCATGTAACAAATTTATGAAAACCCTTAACACTTCTAGACAGTTTTTGGACACAAATACAATACGAGGGGTTCTTTGTAACGTTCGCTCGCTCTCTGCTGGGCGTTTGCCGCTCTCTCTCTGCTGGGCGTTTGCCGCTCTCTCTCTGCTGGGCGTTTGCCGCTCTCTCTCTGCTGGGCGTTTGCCGCTCTCTCTCTGCTGGGCGTTTGCCGCTCTCTCTCTGCTGGGCGTTTGCCGCTCTCTCTCTGCTGGGCGTTTGCCGCTCTCTCTCTGCTGGGCGTTTGCCGCTCTCTCTCTGCTGGGCGTTTGCCGCTCTCTCTGCTGGGCGTTTGCCGCTCTCTCTCTGCTGGGAGTTTGCCACTCTCTCTCTGCTGGGAGTTTGCCACTCTCTCTCTGCTGAGTACTTGCCACTCTCTTTTTGTTGGGCATTTGCCACTCTCTCTGTTGGGCATTTGCCACTCTCTCTGTTGGGCATTTGACACTTATTTGTTTGAGAGTACAAAATAATATATACTGTACACTGAAGGTGCTGGAGGGCAAAGTCCCAAATATGCACAGTAGAATAACTTTTTGAGTGAAAGATACAGAAGAAAATGCAGAATAAAATCAGTGAGTAGTAGAGGTGCCATAGGCACAATCGCAGAGCACTGTCTGAACATCAGAGGTTCAAAGCTGTTCAACACCCTCCCAGCAAACATTAGATATACTGTATTGCCAGTACAAAGGTGGAAGTCTTCAAGAAACATTTAAGCAAATTCTTGCAAGAAGTGCCGGACCAACAAAGCTACTGTATAGTGAATATGTGAGCCAGTGGACCGCTCAGAGCAACAGCCTGTTGTACCAAGTATCACAAGTCGAGCTTGACCTCAGGCCGGGATCGGGGGGTAGAAGAACTCCCGAGACCCTCTCCAGGTATGCTCCAGGTAAACAACAAGACAAGTAGGCACAGCACAAGAGGGTGGCATTAATAAGCAAGCAGGGTCCAGTGATCTCGGTTCTTGGCTCACAACGGGCAGATGCATTTCAGCAACAAACATTTGGTCACGTTTCCTTTCACCTGATGCCTCCGTTCACCTTGCAGTAAATAGGTTACTAGATGTTAGACAACTGTTACGGATTGCATCCTGGCTATTTGTGTATGTGTAATACATAGTCGATGTGATAGATAAAATAGGTTGTGAGTCGGTATATAAGACAAGCGACAATTGGAAAGGTGGGTTCAAGGAGCTAACAGCTCAACCCTGCAGATGCAAATTGAAAATACAAAGACACACACTAGAAGAGAGATGAGAGGTGAAATGATCACCACTTACAAAATACTGTACTAATAGGAATAGATCAAATTGACAAAGAGGAATTCCTGAAACCAGCAACTTCATGAACAAGAGGCCACAGATACAAGCTAAGAAAACAAAGGTGCCAAAAAATATTAGAAAAATTTCTTATCCAGTGGGGTAGAAGCACTGTTAGAAGTGGTGGTTAGTGGTTAGAAGTTTGGGGTAGAGGGGTCTGACAGCTTAGTAAGCAGTGCTTCGGATTGGTAGTCCTAAGGTTCTGAGTTCAATCCCTGGCGGAGGCAGAAACAAATGGGCATAGTTTCTTTCACCCTGATGCTCCTGTTCACCTAGCAATACATAGGTACCTGGGAGTAGACAGCTGCCACGGGCTGCTTTCTGGGGGGGGGGGGGTGTAACAAAAAGGAGGCCTGGTCGAGGACCGGGTCACGGAGACACTAAGCCCCGAAATCATCTCAAGATAACCTCAAGAAAGACAGTTCGAACAAGCTAAGTAAGAAGGTGGTGGAGGCCAAACCCTTCAGTAGTTTCAAAGCGTTATATTATGACAAAGAGTGCTGGGAAGACGGGACACCACGAGCGTAGCTCTCATCCTGTAACTACACTTAGGTAATTACACAAACGGGGTGCCGGTGGCTGTGTGAGCACGCTGGACATGTAATCCTGTGGCCCGGGTTCGATTCCCGGTGCCGGCGAGAAACAAAAATGGGCAGAATTTCTTTCACCCTGATGCCCCTGTTACCTAGCAGTAAATCGGTACCTGGGAGTTAGACAGCTGTTACGGGCTGCTCCCCCCCACCTCCCTCCCTCCCTCCCTCCGTCCGTGTGTGTGTGTACTCGCCTAGTTGTACTCACCTAGATGTGTTTGCGGGGGTTGAGCTCTGGCTCTTTGGTCCCGCCTCTCAACCGTCAATCAACAGGTGTACAGATTCCTGAGCCTATTGGGGTCTATCATATCTACACTTGAAACTGTGTATGGAGTCAGCCTCCACCACATCACTTCCTAATGCATTCCATTTGTCAACCACTCTGACACTAAAAAAGTTCTTTCTAATATCTCTGTGGCTCATTTGGGCACTCAGTTTCCACCTGTGTCCCCTTGTGCGTGTTCCCCTTGTGTTAAATAGGCTGTCTTTATTTACCCTATCAATTCCCTTGAGAATCTTGAATGTAGTGATCATGTCCCCCCTAACTCTTCTGTCTTCCAGCGAAGTGAGGTTCAATTCCCGCAGTCTCTCCTCGTAGTTCATACCTCTCAGCTCGGGTACTAGTCTGGTGGCAAATCTTTTAACCTTTTCCAGTTTAGTCTTATCCTTGACTAGATATGGACACCATGCTGGGGCTGCATACTCCAGAATTGGCCTGACATATGTGGTATACAAAGTTCTGAATGATTCTTTACACAAATTTCTGAATGCCGTTCGTATGTTGGCCAGCCTGGCATATGCCGCTGATGTTATCCTCTTGATATGTGCTGCAGGAGACAGGTCTGGCGTGATATCAACTCCCAAGTCTTTTTCTTTCTCTGACTCCTGTGTGTGTGTGTGTGTGTGTGTGTGTGTGTGTGTGTGTGTGTGTGTGTGTGTGTGTGTGTGTGTGTGTGTGTGTGTGTGTGAAGAAAAAAATTAGTGCAATAGTTAGTAACAGTTGATTGACGGTTGAGAGGCGGGTCGAAAGAGCAAAGCTCAACCCCAGCAAGCACAACTAGGTGAATACACATACACATACACACACACACACACACACACACACACACACACACACACACACACACACACCTATAATAGGCATCAAGTGTGTTGACCCGTCAAGGAGCCACGCAAGTTAGTCTGGCATGTCACAGGAGGATATCCTGCCTTCCCCCCTCCCCCCCCCCCACACACACACACTCCTCCCACTTGCTCTCTTACACCAGTATACTATGTCCCCACCTCGCTCCCACTGTCCCCACCTCGCTCCCATTGTCACCACCTCGCTCCCACTGTCACCACCTCAGCTCCCTCAGGAGGAATGTAACAAATAGGGTCGACACTTCTTTTTTTCAGCGGCGCGTGTTGGGTGTCCAAGTGGAGTTCCGCGAGGCTTGGTTCTGGGTCCCTTGTTCTTCCAAGTGGAGTTCCGCGAGGCTTGGTTCTGGGTCCCTTGTTCTTCCAAGTGGAGTTCCGCGAGGCTTGGTTCTGGGTCCCTTGTTCTTCCAAGTGAAGTTCCGCGAGGCTTGGTTCTGGGTCCCTTGTTCTTCCAAGTGGAGTTCCGCGAGGCTTGGTTCTGGGTCCCTTGTTCTTCCAAGTGGAGTTCCGCGAGGCTTGGTTCTGGGTCCCTTGTTCTTCCAAGTGGAGTTCCGCGAGGCTTGGTTCTGGGTCCCTTGTTCTTCCAAGTGGAGTTCCGCGAGGCTTGGTTCTGGGTCCCTTGTTCTTCCAAGTGGAGTTCCGCGAGGCTTGGTTCTGGGTCCCTTGTTCTTCCAAGTGGAGTTCCGCGAGGCTTGGTTCTGGGTCCCTTATCCTTCCAAGTGGAGTTCCGCGAGGCTTGGTTCTGGGTCCCTTATCCTTCCAAGTGGAGTTCCGCGAGGCTTGGTTCTGGGTCCCTTATCCTTCCAAGTGGAGTTCCGCGAGGCTTGGTTCTGGGTCCCTTATCGTTCCAAGTGGAGTTCCGCGAGGCTTGGTTCTGGGTCCCTTGTTCTTCCAAGTGGAGTTCCGCGAGGCTTGGTTCTGGGTCCCTTATCCTTCCAAGTGGAGTTCCGCGAGGCTTGGTTCTGGGTCCCTTATCCTTCCAAGTTGAGTTCCGCGA